AATATATTGTTAATTATAAAATAATAAATGGAAATAAATCAAAAATAATATATCTGATTCTAAATCATTTGAATTATCAAGAATCTTAAATTTAGCTGCAGTTGAATTACTTACCATTAGTTGTCATCAAAATTTTAATAGAAGTCAAATTTCCTCATATTGTTTTTGCATTTCTTTTAAATCTACATCTATAATTTGAAAAGTGATTTAGTATTAATATAAAGAAAATTTCTTAATGTACACAGTGTATGTATACATATATCACATGACATTACACAACTTTCCAAAAAAGAAAATTTTGCTTCTTATTAAAATTGAGGTTAGGATTTGATAAATAATGTTATATAATTTCCTTTTTTGAAAAGTTGTATAATATCACGTGATATATGTACTATGATTTATCACGCGAAACTAATTAAATCATAGTTATGTCATTGTTTATCAAACATATGAAGTCTTACCAACAATAAAAATAGTTTCTTTTTTGCCAAAACAAAAAAATTTTCTTTAGGTTAAACAAAACGGCATGTTACAAGAAATATTGATCCTGCAAGAAATAAAGAACACGTTAATAATTAATACATATCAAGAAAGTCACAATGATATAAATGATAAAAATGTCAATATTAATTCACAAGTAAATACTTCCGTTTCTCTTTAGTCTTTGTTATCACCCTTTTTTTTAGTTTTGTTCACCAACTCTTTCTAATTTTTTTCCTTTCTTTTGTTTATTAGACGTCTATTCCTTCAAACAACTTCATTTTTAGTGATAAATATGGAAATGATCATTAGTATCTGGCTAAGACCATTCAAAATGGGCAGTCTTCTTTAATAGAAGAAAAGTTTGATGAAAATAATCATCAGTTTACCATTCTTGTTCAAACCGAAGAGCCTTTAGTGGAGAAACATTTTGATAGAGATGATCATCAGATTACCATTCTCATTCAAATCGGAGAGTCTTTAGTGGAGAAAATTTTTGATGATCATTAGGTAACTATTCAAACCAGAGAGCCTTTAATGGAGAAACTACTTGATACTGATTCAGAAAAAATGGAGGATCCGTTTGAATTAAAAATTGGTCTTACCTTTACGAATTGGCCAGAATTTAAAATCTGGTTAGATAATTTTACCAAAAAGAAGGGTTTAATTATAAAGTAAGGAACAGCCGGATAGATGGAAGAATAATGCGTAACATTATTTTTGAGTGTTTAAGGTCAGGCATCCAGATTCTGCAAGTAACTTCTGACTTAGCCAAGCGACGAAATGCATCTTCACAACGTACACAATGCCCTTGAAAGCTTAATGCTTCTTGTTTCAAATCAAGTAATATTGTAAAGATTAATTCATTTGTCGATAATCACAATCATAATTTTACCTCAAGTATATAAGAAATAGCTCCAAGGTTTTGGAAATTGACTAAAAAATGTTATCTGATATAGAAAAATATGTCATACAAAGAAGAATGGATTCTGCATCTATTTATCAGTTACTTAGACATGATTATCCTAATCATAATATTTTTAAAAAAGATATTTATAATGCAGTATATCAGTTTTGGCATAAAAACAATCTAGATGATACAAATGCATCTCAAATGTTCCAAATGCTGTTAAATTGGAAAGATTTGGAGCCATTGTGGGTTGTTAAATCATGCTTAAACCCTTTATCCAGAAAGTTGAATCTTTATTATAGATGTTACCAGTACAACGAACCTTATATGAAAGTTTTCATGATGTCGTAATTTTAGATACCACATCAAATACAAATCGGTTCTGAATGATACTTTGTATTATTGTTGTCATTAATAATTATTTCAAGATAAGAATCGTAGCTTCTGCTATTATAGAAGATGAAACGCTAGATACCTTTCGATGGATTTTAATAACATTATTTGAAGAAACAGATATTAATCCTAAAGTTATATTTACTGATTCAGATCTGTTCTTGATTGGTGCAATTAAAGAAATACATACTGATACAAAACATTTGTTATGTATCTTCCATATTGACTTGAATCTATGTAAGAAACTTAAGAGTAAATTAGGAGCTCACTTTGAAGAATTTTAGCGCAAATTTTATGTTTGTACAAATTTCTTATGTAAGGAATTATTCGAATCTCAATGGGTATAATTAATCGATCAATATCCTGAATCTGCCAAATATATGGTAGAAACGCTTTATATTAATAAAGAATTGTAGGCCACCCTTAGATATGCAACCAATTTACTGCCAGTGCACAAAGCACACAAAGAATTGAATCTATTAACAAGCAAATACATGATAAAATGGATCAGTCTACTTCTTTATGCGATTTGGTAGTTAAAATTAACGATTATATTAAGGGGAAGGAGCATTTTGAAAAGTTTAAAATTGAGCGTAATGCTTTACCAAATGTCGGGTTACTAATATTATGTAGCAGATTTTTTAGACAGGCGGACAGTATTATTAAACAATATTTAACCTCTATTATATTAGGAAAGCAGCAGTTACAGATGAACCAATTAGTATGCTATGATATCAATCATATAATGGACTGGCAACAACTATTAGAAGTAAGTTGACAAAGCCATTCTTTTTTATATTTGGCATAGAAGATCAATATTAATAACCCGTTTTTTTTATAGATAGATGTTGATAGGAAGGAGGTTAATATTGGACTGCGGGAACAAGAACAAGATATTCAACAAGTTCTTTTTAAATCGTTGATTAAGGATGTTCAAGAAATTGTTTTGAAAGTATGGCATATTCGGGCTACAGGAACATCAGGTATTAAACATTATGTGATATTATTAAACGACAGTACACATTTGTGTACTTGCCTTTTATTAATTAATAAAGGCTTAATATGTCGCCATTTTTTTCATGTTAAGACTTATTCTCAAACAGCGATCTTTCACATTACTCTTATATCACCTCACTGGTACCTTGAGCCTAATATTGAACAAAAAGCTCTTATATAACAACTATCAGCTATCATATTATGTTCTAATTCAGAAGATCTTCCTATACCTAATAATACATTTAAACATTTATTTTCCATTCGATCTATGATATGCAATCCTTATTTAACAACGACAAAGTCAAACAAGATTATATATGCAGAATTGTTTGGATTATCGAAAAAGGTTATCGATTTAGCTATTAAAGCTGATATGTATCAGGAGCTGTCTGATATGTTCAAAACTTTTCTTTATGACATACAGAACAAAATTGACAAAAATCAAACTGGAGATTATATTACTAATGTCAACAATCCAAATATAACCAAACATAAAGGCCATCTACCAAAAAGGTTGAAGTCTAATGTTGAACAATCATCATCTAAAGGTAAACAGGTATTAAGAAACAGCACACATATCAATGTAATAGATAACAATGAAATAAATGCAGAAGGTGAGGGTAGTGGCGATATGATCAATACAAAAGGGTGTAAGTGCAGAAAATGTAAAAAATATGAACATTTTGCTAAAACTTGCGAAGCTGAGGTGTTGTAATCTTAGGATTTTTTGGGTTCATTTAGTTTGTTAGTTTGTTGAAGCAATGGTTGAAACTGAATAATGCCGTAATGCAAAATTTAATGATTCATGTAAGTTTTATTTGTTTGGTGAAATATACAAATAAAGAATTTGCTAAAAGTCTTAATTTTTTGGTAGTAATTTTCAAGTTTCTTTTAACTCGTTAGATTCATTAAAGTTGGGTCCATTTAGTCAGTTTGGTTCATTAAGATTTGTTAGTCTTAATATAAAAAAAAAATCTTTTTTGAAGAAACACATGATATTATTGTAATCAAAAAACACATGATCTTATTGTAATCGAAAACACGTAATTTTTATTATAATCACATAATGTGTGTCTACACACACTGTATACAAATAGAAATCATCTAATATAAAAATAGTATTATATTATGATTAACTTACGATCTAAAACAACTAGTTCATTCTCAAATGATATTATATAGATACATTTTTGTCTTTTTTCTATTATAGAAAAGCAAAAAAATTGGTTAACATTTGAAAAATTAGTTGGTTGATTGATAAAATTCAATTTACGTTCTAGCACTTTATTAACTAAATTTTTTTGTTAGAGGCATTTTGTTATATTGTTTGCAACTGAGATTCTATTATAGAAAAGCAAAAAAATCAGTTAATGTTTGAAAAATTGGCTGGTTGATTGATAAAATTCAACTTAGGTTCTGGCACTTCATCAGCCGATTTTTTTCGTTAAGAGTATTTTGTTAGTATTGTTTATGACTGAAATTCTATTATAGAAAAGTAAAAAATCAGTTAACATTTGAAAAATTGGCTGGTTGATTGATAAAATTTAACTTACATTCTGGCCTTCATCAATCAATTTTTTCGTTAAAAGCATTTTGGTGGTATTGCTGTTGATTGAGATTCTATTGTAGAAAACAAAAAAAATCAATTATCATATAAAAAATTAACTAGTTGATTGATAAAATTCAACTTACATTTTTTTGTTCTTGTGATGATTTTTTTGTTTGATATTTTGGTAGGTAGCATTTTACAAAAAGAGAAATTGTAAAAAGAATAAATTAAAAGAAGAAATTTGATTGTAGAGATAAAATTTGATTTAAAAAGATAATTTTAAGTTGAAATTATTTTTTTAAGAAGTGGAAATATCAAGCTTATTTATATAAATTTTTATATATATGCCAGAAATAAACTCAATTAGTTATATCAGATAATACATTAAATCAATATAATACTTAAAGTAAATCAGAAATAATTATCAATGTAATAAATACTTTAATTATGCATTAAAAAAAATTTAAAGTAATTAGAAACAATTTATCAATATATTAAATTAAAACGTATTTAAGTAAATTAAAAATAATACTTTCATTATACATAAAATCAATATAAGATTCAGAAATAATTTATTGATACATTAGATCAAAATGCACTTAAAGTAAATTAGAAACAATACTTTCATTATGCATAAAATCAATACAAGATTCAGAAATAATTTATCGATGTATTATATTAAAACATACTTAAAGTAAATCAGAAACAATACTTTTATCATGTATAAAATTAATACAAAATTCAGAAATAATTTATCGATGCATTATATCAAAACAACTTAACAAAAATAGTTATAAATATTACAATTATTTTAAAAAGAAAATTTGTTTAATTGTTTATATTTACT